ATCCTGGGCCTCCTCCAGCGTCACAATGACACCACCCGGAAACTGGAGGAGCACCACCTCATTCTGCCTTGGGAGCCTACAACCCAATGGTCGCAATGTGGACTTTACCAGTTTCAAAACCTACCCACCCCTGGCCTCATCCCATTTCCAACATCCCTCTCATCCCCGCCTCCTTGACCTGACACAACCTGTCCACCTTCTCTCCCACCTATCCGCTCCTCCCACCTCATTGACCAATCCCCAACACTGTCTATCTGTACTCACCTATCACCATCCCACCTACCTTCCCCAGCCCCACCCCTCCGCTCTCTATTTCGGAGCTTCCTTCCCCTCCCCCATTTCTGAAGAAGGGTCCCGACCCAAAACGTCAACTTTCCTGCTCCTCTGATGCTGCCTGGCCTGCTGTGCTCCTCCAGCTCCACACGTCTCTGAGTCTAGCATCTGCAGTTCTTACTATCTCTATAGTTGAGCCCCACTAGATGGGCACCACAAACACTTAAGAGAAAATGAAGAAAGGCTTTAAGAACAAAAATGTAGGAGTGGTGAGTAGAAGGGGATTCTCTCACTGGATAATAGGTTGAACAGACACAAAGGCTTAAAAGTAAACCAACTGAGAAACCTAGTGGAAGACTCTGGTTGCAAAATCTTCAAAGTGTACAAAATTCACAAAAAGGTAGCGTCATGACTTACCAAAGGACAGTGCACTAACGATTGTTCCATCATCTGTCCTAAAATTTATAATGGCATAAAATCCCAATGAGATTATCAAAATAACAAGGTGTAGAGCTGGATCAACACTTCTAAAGAAGGATCTAGGCCCAAAACATCAGCTTTCCTGCTCCTCTGATGCTGCTTGGCCTGTGTTCACCCAGCTCTACACCTTGTTTTATCCGATTCTCCAGCATCTGCAGTTCCTACCATCTCAGATTATCAAAATGACCAGTTTGCATAACCGACTGTTACCTCAGGTCTAAAGAATTCACACCAGGCTTTTCAAACAACAGGAAAAGGTACCAAGAACTGCAGATGCTGGAGTCAGAGTCAACAGTGTGGAGCTGGAGGAACACAGCAGGTCAGGCATCATCACAGGAGCAGGAAAGTCGATGTTGAGTTGGGACTCTTCTTCAGAACTGGAGAGGGGGAAGGGCACTGGGAAATAAAGAGAGAGTAGGTTGGTGCTGGGGGAAGGTAGGTGGGATGGTGATAGGTGGATGCAGGTGGAGGCGGGGGCAGGTGGGGACTGGTCATCGTGACACTTCATTTTAACAAGAACAGTTGAAAGAAATGATTTCTAAACTCTTGCACCTTAAAAAACTTTACCCTTTCAAAACCCCAAACACAAAATATATCTTTCAGTAAAATGAATTTGCTGAGAATCAAATCAACATTAGATGGCCAATTGCAAATCTGAAAAGCACATTGGATAGGTTGTTTAAAAAAAAGTGGCAATGCATTGGCAGACAGTAAGAGCATAAAACTGTAGTTACAACTCAAAATACCTGTGGCCAGCACTATAGAGACAAAGCATCCCTAAAACTAATCCAGAAAACTACAGGCCAATTAGCTTCAGTATTCAGGCAGACAGAATCTTCCCTAGAGGATGAAATAACAACAGAAGAATTGATAAATAGTTACCAGCATGGAAGCAGTCATGTTTAATCAACCTCTCTGTATCCTTTAGAAAGTGCAGACATTTGAGACGACAGTGTTGAAATATTCCAAATAAGAAAGTTGTTTCTATCCTATTTTTATACTGTATTTGTTTCAATATGCCCAGAATAAAAAGAGTTGAAAAGATAGAATAGCCAATAGCCAATCGCCAATCTAGTACAATATAGATGGCGAGAGAGAAAGCAGGAACTGCCGATGCTGGAGAATCCGAGATAACAAGGTGTAGAGCTAGATGAACACAGCAGGCCAAGCAGCATCAGAGGAGCAGGAAAGCTGACAAAAAAAGGGTCCGGACCCGAAACGTCAGCTTTCCTGCTCGGCCTGCTGTGTTCATCCAGCTCTACACCTTGTTATCTCAATATAGATAGCGATGTGTTTAGACACATAGTTGCACATTTCAGCACCAGCTGCCATGTGGAATGGATAATACCGGATACAATTACAAGGGCAAGATACAGACACCCATTGAATGAGATCTGACCCAAGGGGCTAAGTAGCCCCTCCTGTTCTTGTCAGTACTTCAGAATGATGGGAAGTAGTCACTAATGCAGTGAGATGGCACGTAGGCACTACAGTTACTAGTATGACCAGCTGGGTCACAATAAACATGACATAAATTGACATCATTGCATAAATTACTTATTTAAGATCATTATTTGCAGTTATAGAGTCTAGAGTTGTACAGCACTGAAACAGACCCTCAGTCAAACTTATCCATGCCAACCAGCTATCCTGAATTAAATTAGTACCATTTGCCAGCACTTGGCCCATATCCCACCAAACCCTTCCTATTCATGTACACATCCAGATGCCTTTTAAATGTTGTAATTATACCAGCCTCCACTTCTTCCAGCAGGTCATTCCATACACCCAACACCCTGTGTGAGCAAGTTGCCCCTTACGGCCCTTTAAATCTTACCCCTCTCACCTATGCTCTCTAGTTTTGGATTTCCCTACCCTGGGGGAAAAAAAGACCTCGGTTATTCATCCTATTCATGCCCTTCATGATTTTACAAACCTCTACAAAAGCTCATCCCTCAGCCTCTGATACTCCAGTGAAAACAGCCCCAGCTTATTCAGCCTCTTCCCCAAATGCCCCAACCCCGGCAACATATCCTTGTAAATCTTTCCTGCACCCTTTCAAGTTTAACATCTTTCCTATAGCAGGGAGACAAGAATTGAACACAGCATTCCAAAAGTGACCTAACCAATGTCCTGTACGGCTGCAATATGACATCCCAACTCTTATACTCAATGCACAGACCAATAAAGGCAAGTGTATCAAATGCTTTCTTTATTAGCCTGTGTACATGGGACTCCACTTTCAAGGAAATATGAACCTGCACCCCAAGGTTTTTAGTTCGGCAATAGTGCGCAGGACACTACAATTAAGTTCTGCCCCGGTTTGCCTTCCAAAATGCAACAGTTTCCATTTATGCAGAGTTAAATTCTATCTGCCATTCCTCGGCCCAGCTGATCAAGGTCCTGTTCTTTTCATAAACTTCTTCACTGTTCACTACACCACACAAATATTCATAAAAGTTGAAGCACACAAGAAACAATATCTTTTTTCTGCTCAACACTGTAATCTGACACCACCATTTTTGGTTCAACTGCAAGTTAAATTTAGGAGGCAACTGGTATTATTGCTGCTCTCCCTACAATGCCACATCTGGAAATCTAACAAAAGACCCTGCATCTTGCATACTCTGCTTATCTGTTCTATCCCTGCATAGCTCCTTTTTTAAAAGAAAAGAGAATGCAAGATTTGATTTGTTTTCACTTGGGGCAAGACTTGTTACAGGTGGTCCAAACAACTTAAACTCAGCAGAAAAATCAAAGTACATTATTCATAAATACAGTATACATGCAAAGAAAGCAAATAAGTTAAATTGAGAAACACAGCATGCTGTCTGAACAAGGAACCTGTCTACTAAAGGTGACTTCTGTAAAATTCCCTATAGAAAAATATTGTTGTACAAAGTAATTTTATTAGCTTTTAAACAAGCAAAAGAAAAAAAACTGGCGTTTTGCTAATTAAGTGAAAACTCACTAAAACTGTCTGGAAATACGACTTTCCTTTAAGTTACCCAATTCGTATCACGCCTACAAAATGTCTTTCAATAACAAAATCAAAGGATAGAATAGATATACATGTGCAGTTGACAATGCTCCGCTTTAGGTTTCTGCAGTGTCTCAGACAGAATTACTTAAATACAAAAAAATTGCAGCAACTAAGAATATTCGATATTAACACAAGTCTACTAACCGGTAGAAAGTTAAACAGAAACCACAGTCACACACAGATTTGGTAACGCCCAGTTACCGCACAGGGACTGGTTTATCACCATTAACAATCAAGGATCGTATTCTCGACAGACCAGTACAGCCAATGCAGCACAGTGGCGCAAAGGCGTATTTTTCCTAATAATGATGCAAAATAAGCGCTCAAACCCCCTTCGATTGTTTTCTAAACAGTGGCCATATCCCATTATGACTGCACTGAAAAATATACTAAACAAGGGGCAGGGAAGAAAATACGTAGCCAAAAAAAGGACACGAAATCAAAATACAGTTATACCTCAATAGAAAATTTCATTTTATTGCCGCCACACCTTCACTGCGGGAAGGACTCATTCAAGTGAAACAGTCCGCAATCGCGGAAAACCACCTCACCATTTTTAATTGAAATGAATCATTTCGTGGGTATTCTCGCCTCGGTTTTCATCAAGAACAATAGGAACCAAATGGTCATGGAAATCGTTCCGTCCCTGGTCTTTGAACATTGAGACACGAACAGGAGAAGGGTGGCAGGAGTTGGAGACGATTAAAACACGCCAGCTCTGGATCCCAGCCACCCATGAAACGTTTCTCACCTTCCTCTGGCCCACGGGTGTGCGAACACCTGTCTGTGACTCATGAACCAAGCTCCCTGCTCATTCGCGCTCGCTCGCTCCCACACATACATACTCCTCACTTACACCGAAACACTTACTGCTCTGGCTGACCGGGCCACACTTCGAAAGGAAACACCAGAAAAGATTGGAAGGGGACAAAAGCCCCTCTCCAGCAACCGCAACCACAACCGCTCACTCTCACATCTCCCAACTCCCAACTCCCAACTCCCAACTCGAAGGGTGAGAAGAAGCTGGAACCGATCGGCCCCGCGTCACCGCCCTGCTCTCGGGCACGGCTTGGCCGCATTGGTCAGCCTACCAGCTACCCTCGCCTCCATTGGGCGCTGCCCCTGCGAAATCAGCCAATTGGGAAAGGTGTACTTGGTTGCCATCGCGGCATCGCCTGTCAACAATCCGCGGCTGAGTGAGAAAGATAGCAAGGTGAGTGCGGCCTCCTCCACTACAGCGAGCTCACCTGGCTCCCCCAGCACTGGAACTCGCCTCTGGGAAAGGCTCACCCATCAATCCGAGATGTGATCACAGCTGCCAGGACTTCTGTGATGTGAGTCAAATTGTCACCAGTTTAGGCAGTAAAAAGGAGGAAGTAATGGTAAATTATTTTCCCAGTAAACTGATTTTTTTTTCGCTCCGGAATGTTTTTGTGGATGATGCACGTTAGCATTGTGAAACCAAGATAAATATTGGAGCCAAGATAAACCGGCGTTTTACCATTGACAATTTCATTGCAAGATATGGTGATTGATAAATAAGTAGCTTCTTAAGTGTACATTGTTAAATTTCTCTCAAATCCCGTTGATTAAATGTTACGCCAAACATTCAGCCTAATTACTAGTCTTCGTAGATTGACCTAATAAAGATGCTCGAAAAGGGTAGTGTCTGTTCCATTTCCTATATTTGTTCTCTCTCTCCCCCTCCTGGGGAGATTAGTTTCTTCTTGTCCTCTTCCCCTTCCACAATCTCCAAATTTAATTGAACATCTGTCATTACCACCTCTTCCAGCATTAGTTTATCCAAACATCTTTCTATTCCCTCCCTTTTCAGCATTCAAAACAAACCAAAAATGAAATATTCCCACAGTAACATTCTGGTGGATACCTCAATTGTACCTTAAAATCAACTAATTCTGAGACGATGCCAACTCTTGTCTTTGTCCTTAACCATCCATTGTTGGACTGAAGTACAATCAAAACTTACAAACTGCACATCACTTTCAGGTTGAGTCCCAAAGTTTAAGTATCCAATGTGGAGTTTAATTTTGGATTGTAATCTGTCCCCTATTTTGCAAATCATAGCATTAGTGATGATTCTACTAGTCCTATTTATACTCCAAGATTTTTTATTCCTTTACTTACCCAGTTACTATCTTCTTTTGCCTTGTGCAACCGTCCCATTTGTTATTTAGTCTCTCCAATCACAGACCTCCCTTCCTTGTTCCATCTATCAGCTTTGTACTTGCTTAAAATCTGTTATAACTAATATTTCAAAGCCAGAAAATATCATCAACCCAAGATCTTAGCTTTATTTGTCACCACAGGTGCTGCCTAATGAGTATTTCCAGTTTTTCTTTAAACAAAGCAAAGTCTGCTAGGAATTTCACCCTGTGCATTTCTCATGTAAACATCCACCATTTTCTTCTCATGAAGGGATTAACTAATTGCTAGATGGCTGGTCACTTCACAATATCTTGCATCTAGTTTGTTAACCAGTGCTTGAAGCCCACAAGTAGTGTTAGCATAAAAGTGGAAAAATCCCTGGAACTTGATCAGGTATATCCTAGAACCCAGTGGGAAGCTAGGAAAGTGATTGCCAAGCCCCTTGCTGAGATATTTGTTTCATTGTTAGCCACAGGTGAGGTGCTGGCAGACTGGAGGTTCACCAATGGTGGTCAAATTGTTGGAGGAAATCATGAGGGACAGGATTTATGTATTTGGAAAGGTAAGGATAGATTAGGGATAGTCCACATGGTTTTGTGCGTGGGAAATTGTGTCACTCTAACAACTGAGTTTTTTTGAAGTAGTAACGAAGAGGATTGATGAAGGCAGAGCAGTGGACGTGATCTATACGGGCTTCAGTAAGGCATTCAACAAAGTTCCTCGTGGTAGACTGGTTAACAAGTTTAGATCATATGGAATACAGGGAGAACTAGCCAACTGGATACAGACTGGCTCAAAGGTAGAAGACAGAGGGTGGTGGTAGAGGTTTGCTTTTCAGACTGGAGGCCTGTGACCAGTGGCGTGCCACAAGGATCTTTGCAGAGTCCACTGCTTTTCATCATTTATATAAATGATTTGGATGTGAGCAGAGGAGGTATGGTTGTAGATTGGCAGATGACACCGAAACTGGAAGTGTAGTGGACAGCGAAGAAGGTTATGTCAGAGTACAATGGGATCTTGATCAGATGGGCAGAGGAGCAGCAGCTGGATTTTAATTTAGCTAAATGTGAGGTGCTGCATTTTGAAAAGGCAAATCAGGGCAGGACTTATACACTTAATGGTAAGGTCCTGGGGAGTGTTGTTGAACAGAGAGACTGGAGTGCAGATTCATAGTTCCTTGAAGGTGGAGTCACAGGTAGACAGGATAGAGAAGATATTTGGTATGCCTGCCTTTATTGGTCAGTGCATTGAGTATGGAGTTGGGTCGGTCACGTTGCAGCTATACAGGACATCAGTTAGGCCACTTTGAATTCTGTGTTCAATTCTGGTTTCCCTGCTATAGGAGCGATGTTGTGAAACTTGAAAGGGTTACAAGGATGTTGCTGGCTTTGGCGGGTTTAAGGCTTTTCCCTTATTTATTTTGACACGACCACTGTCATTATCCAGTGATGATTGAAAGATCGTCACCAAAACGTTCAGTTTCGGGGTTATGCTGTAAAATTCATTTAGGTTGACGCACTCAAACCAAAATACAGGCGGTTCTGCTAGAACGCGATAGTTGCGTTCCAGAAAAATCACGCTATAGAAAATAACTGGGCCAACGAGAAAAGCGGAGTTAGGGGCAGACCACCAAAAGCGTGACTCAAAGGATAGCACTACGGTCGGCAGCTGTTCAAAGAGGTTGGTCCGACTGTGACAGCTGTTTCGCAGATCCTTTTCTGATTGCACATCTGTCCTCACTATTTCCAAAAAGTGCAGGACAGTTACCCAGGTGTCCTGGTCAATACTTATATCATAGTCAGCAACACAATTACGGATTGTCTGATCATTATCACATGTTGCTTGAGAGAGAGTTATGCGTGAATGCTGTTGTATTTTCTACAATGACTGCACTTAATACTTCAGTGGCTGCCAAGCTCTTTGTAAGATCGAGATTGTTATAGGTATAAGCTTTTGTAAGCAAGATCGAAGGTCAAGTCCTGCCTCAGAACTCAATGGCCAGGGAAGGCGCGCTCCTAAAGATCTCATGTCAATCTGCAAATCCTTCCAACACTGCCAGTAGCAGAGTGTAGGCTTGGGAGATTCCTGGTCAGCCGTGTGACTATCCAAAGTTCCAGACTGCGACATATACACGTATGTTGCCATAGCAACTTCGACTCCGTCAGCCATCCACACCGAGGGTATGGAGGGATATGGCGCAAGGATGGAAAAATCAAGTTGAAATACAAGTCAACCATGATCTGACTGCTTACTTACATAGGCTGCTGGAGCAGCCTGTTGTACCCAGCTCCTGTGCTTCAGTGTTTCCTTTAAAGGAAAGTTAGGAATATTGTTTTTCCACTTTCCCTACACCCTAATTTTTCTGATAACAGACCTGCTGGCTTCTTTTCAATTTTAAGAAAGGCTGACAGGGAGAATTTCTCTGGGAACTCAATCACAATATTGTACAAGTTCACTGTAGAAATTATTAACAAAGGGCTCCTGACAGCAAGCTGCCTACTCTACGGAATCACATAGCCAACACAACTTGACGTGTTAGAAATAGTGTTCCCCTATTCGTCAAACACCTTATAGCCAATTAGTGTTGCCAGAACATGTTATAGCAAAACCCCCTGTAACTCTGGAGAGGAGTATCTAGTCACTAAGTCCTCATTTATTGACATAGAAATAGTCCTTCTCTATAGTACTGCATCATACAGTCAGGAACCATAAAAAAACCTAAACAAGCTTGTCAGCCAGAGCTCCTGATTAGACCAGATTAACAGCCCCAATCAAGGAACTCATTCTATGAGGTCCAGCTGGCTGACCTTGTTACAATCACTACTTTAAACACTTTTGATTTTATGCAATAAAAGCAATCAAAAATTATGGATTAAAAATATAGTATGTGCCAATGAATTAAACTAGACATTCAACATTTTTCACATCACTATATTCAACCCCAACTACTTGTTTTTTCATTGGCACTATTGCTGTCACATTCCTGCCAATTCAGGTATTAACTCATTCAGAAGCCAGGTAACAAGCATGAAACCAAACACCAACTGAACATTACTGGTAATATTACTCTAATTCTGTTGCAGAGCCAGAAGTGCAAAAACCTCATTCTTGTGAAAGGTGCTAGAAATGACTACTTCCCCAGGAATCCTTTTCAAAGGGCAGGGATTTGATCCAAAAGGCTGTTTTCAGAGATAGAGCACAAGTTAAGACCAAGAACTATTTGATACCTTAACAGAGACAGCAATTTAAATGTGACTCATCACTAAGAACCTTCTAAATTATAGAGGTTATTTCAGCAATCTTGTCTATAAATCCATGACATTGCTCTATTCACCACTCAACTTTTGAAATCTATAAATTTGACCATACCTCATTTGGTATGCAAGAGGTTTTCCTAGTAAATTTCATCCATGAGGCTTAGAAGATCCAAAACAAGTAGTCAACTGGCTGACAAAATACTTCACTTCCAATTTTTTTTAATCCTCCCCAAACTGCCCCACAAAAAAAAAGGAAATTATGCTTACCCTTGTTTAAAGGCATAACTCAAGTCCCATATAACTATTTAAATACTTCACCCCAGCCACCATAAAATTCAGATTCCAAGAACATGATGGGTAATTTATATTTGTTTTCAGCCATTATTCATAAAAATTTGATTTCCTATCCCCCACCCCTGGCTTCCAGTTTTTACCTTAGGTTAGTATTTTCTGTTGTGTTTTCATTCTGAAGCCATATAGGGAAGTAGAAGACTAGTTACTAACATTTTAAACTCAGTGCTAGATTTACTGTATTTGTGTGCCTCAACATTCTTTATATTTTAAAATATATAAAACAACCAATTAAACCAATTTAAAAAGGTCATCAGGCTGTTAAAAAGGACAGAAGAGTTCAAAAGAAAATTAAGTTAACTTCATTTGTGCAGATATCATGCACTCTACCTCTTGCATTACTTTCTGGTCACAGAAGGTCTCAAGCATAGTAGTGGACACAGCATATTCCCTTACCAAGAAAATCCAGGTGCAGACATAACTACACACAAAAAGGCAGACAGCCATTTATGTAGACCTGTTCATGATCATTTTGGCTAGGTCTAGAAGAGGACCAACAATGAGGTCCTCCAATTTGCCTACTCCCTCCATACCAGGTGACCAAAGATCAACAACATATG